GAATACATATATATTTTTGAATTTGTATTTTCTTTTATTTTCAGATTAAATACCCAAAAGTGGAATTGCTGGATTATATGGTACCCCTATTTTTTATTTTTGAGGCACCACCGTATTGTTATCCATTGTGGCTATACCAATGTGTATTCCCACCAACAGTACACAAAGGTTCCCTTTTCTCTTAATCCTTGCCAACACTTAGTTTTTGTCTTTTTTATATTAGCCATTATAACAGGAATGGGGTGGTATCTCATCATGGTTTTGATTTGCATTTTCCTTATGATTAATGATGTAAAGCACATTTTCATTTGTATGCCTTTCTTAGAGAAATATCTGTTCAGATCTCCTGATCATTTTTAACGTATATTTTTATTGAATTTATTGGTGTGACATTGGTTGATAAAATTATGTAAGTTTCAGGTATACAGTTCTATAATACATCATCTGTACTTTGTATTGTGTGTTCATCACCAAAAGTCAAGTTTCCTTCCATCCCCATTTATCCCTCCTTTACCCTCTTCTACCTGCCCCTACCCCTTTTCCCTCTGATAATCACCATACTGATACCTATAAATCTTTTTCTTAATCCTTTCATTTACTTTACCTAACCCCCAACCACATCCCCCACAGCTGTCAATCTGTTCCCTGTTTCTATTAGTCTGTTTCTACTTTATTTTGTTCATTACATTCCACATATTAGTGAAATCATGTGATATAGTGTTTCTCTTAAGATCAGGAACAATGCAGGAAGTCTGCTTTCACTACTTTTATTCAACATAGTATTAAAAGTTCTAGCCATAGCAATCAGACAAGAAGAAATAAAAGACATCCAAATTGGGAAGGAAGAAGTATAACTGTCATTATTTGCAGATGACATGCTACCATGTATAGAAAACCCTAAAGATCCCACCAAAAAACTACTGGAACTAATAAATGAATTCAGTGAAGTAGCAGGATACAAAATTAATATTCATAAATCGATGACATTTTTATACATCAATAATGAGCTGTCCCGCTCATTTTTAAATCAAATTGTTTGTTTTTCTGCTATTGAGATGCACGAATTCTTTATATATTTTGTGTATTAGTCTCTTATCAGATACTAGAGGCCCGGTGCACGAAATTCTTGCAAAGGGGTGAGGTGAGTCCCTCTGCCCGACTGCACCCTCTCCAATTCAGGACCCCTCAGGGGATGTCCGACTGCCGGGTTAGGGCCCCATCCCAGGGATGGGGCCTAAAATGGCAGTAGGACATCCCTCACGCAATCCAGGACCACTGGCTCCTAACCACTCACCTGCCTGCCTGCCTAATGCCCCTAACTGCTCCCCTGCCTGCCTGATCGCCCTTAACCTCCTCTGCCTGCCTGCTGGGTTGCCCCTAATGGCCCTCGCCTGCCAGCCTGGTCGCCCCCAATGTGCATATGGCTGGGGTCCCTCAGTCTGGCTTGTGCCCTCTTGCAATCTGGGAGCCCTCAGGGGATGTCCTTGGGGGAGTGAGCCTAAACCAGCAGTCAGACATCCTTAGCTCTGCTACAGAGGCAGGAGAGGCACCTGCCACCACTGCTGCACTTGCCAGCCGTGAGCCCAGCTCAGGGCTTCTGGCTCAGTGGCACTCCCCCTGTGGGAGCACACTGACCAAGAGGGGACAGCTCCTGCATTGAGTGTCTGCCTCCTGGTGATCAGTGTGCATCACAGCAACTGGTTGTTCCACCGTTTGGCCAATTTGTATATTAGCCTTTTATTATATAGGTCAGAGGGCAGGGGGATGGACATAAACAAAAGTGTGGTGATGGCCAGAGGTGGGGGGGCTGGATGGAGGAGGGTAAAGGGGGGGGAAATGGGAGACATCTATAATAGTGTCAACAGTAGAATAAAAACAACAATTATATACCACATGGTATATCTTATAACAATGATATACACACCTATTAGGAAAAAAAGGATACATTATGAACTATGTATTTACTACTTGGAGAAAATTTAAAAAGAAAGAATTTTGTCCAGAAAGGAGTGTTGTTGAAATGTTATTTTATTTTTTTTTTTACTTTTATGGTAAAGCTAAGAAAGCTTCAGAGCCCCTGTGAGGGCTGGATTATTTTTAACGATGTTTAAACGTTTCGTACTATGAGGTGCAAAATATTTTGCTTATTTCAAGATTCTTTGTGCATTCTTTCTGTAGTAAAGTGAACTTATCAATGTGGTAAGTCTATTTGGGGGGTCTGCTTAAAATGGGGCACACCAGTAATAAATTTGGTTCTAACAATGACTAATTCGCACATCAAGTGTGGAGTTAGATGGCTATTGGACGTAACCATTTCTTTTGGTCCCTTTGTTCCCACAGCATCTGCTTCAACCAGAGGCGGTGTCTTGACCCTCCATGACCTCTTTGTCTTGGCGACCGCGGGGCGTCTACTGCCTGAGGCCATGGCAGTCAGCTGGGTGTTGACCTTCCCAAGATGGCGGCAACCCTGATGAACTCTCATCAGGGGCAGGGTCTGAAAGGACAAAGCAGGACTGATGGCTGTGTCCTTAACCCCTCTTCCAAGAAAAAGCCGCAGGGTGTATCAGTCACTCAGCCTGCCCTTATCTTGGCCAATGGGAAAGCGGGGGAAACTAGCCCAAGGCCAAAAGTATGCTGGCCACCCCCCCTGTCTTTGTGTAACTAGACCCTAGCTCCACCCTGCCCCAACCCCGGACCCCAAGCCCTATAAATTCTTTGTTCTCTTGGGACTCGGGGCTCTCTCTTGCATCCAGTAATGGAGGCAAGGCGGGGACCAAGAGAGCTTGTATAAAGGACCCTCTGTTTTTGCATCGGACTGACTGGCTCCCTGGTGTGGTTTTATTGGGGATCTTGAAATCTGGGCATAACATTTCCCGTCGGGTCAGCAGAGACAGGGCAGGGAGGCACACGGGGAGAGCTTTCAGGCAGGCCGGTTGAACCTGACAGAGTCGCACCTACAGCTTCCCTCCTCTTCTCCTCTCCTCCCGTGCCAGTGGGCTGATGGCTGAGGGGAGTGGCAGCCACTGGCAAGGCCAGGTGCGGGCTCAAGAGGGTGGGGAGCCTGAGCCACCAGGGCGGGCGGGCACTTCTTTGCAGGGTTTCGAAGGGTGTGGGGGATGGAGAAGTGCCCCAGTCTCTGCGCTGGGATGGAACTGGAAAGGGGGGGGGGGCTGACCCCTCCCCCACTGCTGGGTGGGACATTGCAGAGGAGAGGCCGTGGATCCCTAGCCCAGACCCACTCTCCCAGGGGCAGGTCGCAGCCTCAGGTGGGCTCAGGTGCTGCTGAGGCCCTCGGACCCTTGAGGGTGGGAAGGATCGTCTGGGCTCGCCAGCTGTGAGTCCCTGGGTCAGGTGTCTGAGTGTGGGCGGGCAGCAGGTTGCAAGAGTAGATGGAGAAACTGGCTCCAGGCCAGATAGGTGAGGCACACAAAACTTTTGCCTGGGCAGTGCCAGGGCTTCGGAGTTGTGGCAGATAACAAAGCGCTGGCATCTGAGGCCTCAATGCTGGCATGGGGGTCTGAGAACCTGGCAGGGTGCAGGACACATCTCTCCTGCCTCTGCCTGGCACAGGCTCAGCTGCGCCACCTGCAGGGGGAGGGTAGGGGCTGGCCCAGCTTGAGCCACTCGCTGCTGCCTGCAGCAGCTCACCAGTCCCCTATCGGCTGGGGGGAGACAACCGGTCGGTCCTTTGGTTGTCCTGGTCATGTCGGACACTGCCTTTTTATATAGATAGATATGATTTGCAAGTATTTTCTTCCATTCAGTAGGTTTCCCTTTCATTTTGTTGATGGTTTTCTTTGCTGTGCAGAAGCTTTTTAATATGATGTAGTCCCACTTATTTATTTTCTCCCTTTTTGAGACCACCTTCCATCCTTTTCCAACCAAAATTCCAAATATACACTTAATTCCACTGGATTTTTAAATGTTCCCAAAGTAGTACAGAGCCATGGGATTAGAAATTGTGATATCATTTGTCTAACACTATACATTTTAGTACAAAAAAAGAAACTTTTGGTAGCCTCAATGTTGGTTCACCTGGACAGTCCCTTATTCTTTATCTCTTGATCTTTCAATTACTCCTCTTCCTTTCAGAATCGTCATCTCCTTCATAATCTTACTGTATGTTACCCCTTCAAATAAGAAATTGCACCTTGAATCAAATTTTGCATCTAGCAAAATCTTCCTCTGCCAAGATTTTTGCTGAATCTACCCTTGACATGGATTAGTTATGACCCCATAATTGGTGAGCAGAATGGTGGTTCTTCAATCTTTCCCAAAGAACAATGGTTATGGCTGTTTCCCCTGGATTATATGAAGACAAACACACCTTTTTTATTGGATTTGTTGCTTCCTAGATCCATGTTATAACCATCCTAACTATTACGTTACTTTTGTTCCTAGTATCTGCTTCTGGCTCTACTCCTCAATATCTATGATGATTCTATTCCTATATCTGAAGATCCCATTTACCTTTTCCATTGAATCATGGCTCCTAGACATTCATTTGAGCACAGCTTCACCTGAAGTTTTGTTTTAGGACAAAGGTGGGCAAACTTTTTGACTCGAGGGCCACAATGGGTTCTTAAACTGGACCGGAGGGCCGGGACAAAAGCATGGATGGAGTGTTTGTGTGAACTCATATAAATTCAAAGTAAACATCATTACATAAAAGGGTACTGTCTTTTTTTTTTTTTAGTTTTATTCATTTCAAACGGGCCGGATCCGGCCCGCGGGCCGTAGTTTGCCAAAGGCTGTTTTAGGAAAAAATATTTTTCCGTAACTATCTCTAAGGAATTCTTGCCTTTGTAATACCCAGGACTTCTCAAAGAAGAAAATAATTCTGAAAATAATTCACACATAAATTTGACTACTTTAATATAAATAACTACTGAAGCAAAGCATATTCAGTTGAAAAGTCTAAGAAATTTGGAGGAAATAGTGAAGAAGGCTTTAGGGGTAAAAAATTTAAACATATATTTTTAAATTATTTCATTTACTTATTTATAGTCCTAACTTCTACAGATGCCTGAAGGATGTCAGAATCATTTGGGAGCACTTGTATAAGATAAACGCCTTATTGACTTGCACTAGTAATCTTATTTTAATTCTCTGCTTTGGAGACATGGTTAGAGTGGTTTGCAATTCAATTAATGAAAATCAGGCATGGGTCCTTTAGAAGAATAAATTTTATTTTTTTCACAGAAAGAAAAATCTAACTCCTTAAAAAATATTTGCTCTTTTCAATTAATTTAAATTCATATTTTCATTCAGAGGTAAGTGAAATATTCTCCCTCCTTTATTTCCATTTCTTCTCTCAGGGGTTTCATTCTTTTATAGTCTTCCCTTTTATAATGAGAAAAATTTAAGCATATGCTATCACTCTGGGGGGGTTGAAAGAGATGCATAATGATGGGTATGCTTGCTTCCTGCCAGACACTGTGTTAAGCTCTGTGAATACAAGATAAGTAAAATCCAAACCTGGCTTTTTAAAGAATTCACTGTTTATTTAAGGAAGCAGATATCTATGTAATCATTGAATAATTATTATTCAATCGGATTACCATGCACATGAAGTTTTAAATGAAGTGTTATAGATGAAGAGGTAGGGGAATAGTTAATTTTGCTGGGGAGGTTTAGGAACATGTCACAAAAAGTAAATTGTAAGTGGTGCAGAAATATGAAGGGTGGTTTGCAGTAGGGATATCGTGATCCACCACTGCTCAGAGTTGGCCTTAGAGCTTGAGGTCTGACTGATCCTAGAATGAACCATCAGTTAGATGCTGTCAGGGACAGAAGGCAAAGTATGATGGAGGCAAAGTCCCAAGGAGGCTGTCCGCAGAGATTGACTCTAAGTGAGGCAGGCCAATCCAGGTCTGGGCCAAGTGTCAGAAAAAAGGCAACTAATCGCACATGTTGATCTGGGACATTCCTGCAACTTCATCTGAAAACAAAGCAAAAAAGAGTCCAAACAAAGCATACATGTTAGTACTATGGCAAGCAGAAGGACACCAGACATCTAACTGATGTATAGATTAGGGTTTTTCAAAAAGAACCAGGGTTTGATGAGAGGAGCATGAAGGGGCCAGATTACCTGTTATTCCAGGAGGCAAATCATCTAAGTAGTCATCTGCAGCTCGTAACATCTGCCTCAGCGCAGAGAGGATCAGAACGTCCTTTAAAGGGTCCTGCTCCCACTCGGGAGCATAATTTTCAACCATCAGAATATTAGAAATAGGAATTTTTAGCATGGCTTGGATTTTCATTATCTGTGGAAAAATTATTTAATAAGGACCAGTCTTACATCTAAAATTTGACTGAATTTAAATATAATTCAAAAAATAAACAAAACAATGACTTAACAAATTATCTTCAGAATCTAATTATAATTCAGATAATTACAGTTTTAAAATGAAATTTAACCAGTCAATTGATCATTTCTTTATTTACCTATGAATATGTAGTGTGAGCACACTCAAACACACATACACACACAGAGTATAATATTATTATGACAATAGCTGGTTACAAACAGTGTTCTTTACCTGGCTTTGGGAAGTCATAGAATTATTCATGTTTAAAAAGTCTTCTTGAAGAACACCATGGTAATTTTTCACTTTAGTCAGCAAGGCTACCTGTGGTACACCTAGATCAAGTAGATAAATCAGTTATTTTATATCATAATCAGCAATGTGTCAACAAGGTAATTAAGTATGTATAAAATCAGTTCTCTGTAGGATGGTTTTAAGATTTGGAGAACTAAACGGCTAGTTCTGCCAAGGAGGTGGAGAAAAAGGAACCCTCGTGCACTGCTGGTGGGAATGCAGACTGGTGCAGCCACTATGGAAGACAGTATGGAGTTTCCTCAAAAAATTAAAAATGGAACTCCATTTGACCCAGTGATCCCACTTCTAGGACTATATCCCAAGAAACCAGAAACACCAACCAGAAAGGATATATGCACCCCTATGTTCATAGCAGCACAATTTACAACAGCTAAGATTTGCAAACAGCCTAAGTGCCCATCAGCAGATGAGTAGATTAAAAAACTATGGTATATCTACACTATGGAATACTATGCTGCTATAAAAAAGAAGGAACTTTTACCATTTGAAACAGCATGGATGGAACTGGAGAGCATTATGCTAAGCAAAATAAGCCAGTCGGAGAAAGATAAATATCACATGATCTCACTGATGTATAGGATATAATGATCAACATAAACTGATGAACAAAAATAGATCCAGAGACAAATGACAGGGGAGGGGAGTGGTTAGAGAGTAACCAAAGGACTTGTATGCATGCATATTAGCATAACCAATGGACACAGACACTGGGGCCGTGGGGCTTGCCCGGGGTGGGAGTGGCTGGTGGAGGGGGGTCAATTGGGGGAAAAGGAGACATATGTAAAACTTAAGACAATAAAAAAAAAGATTTGGAGAATGAATTATCCCCTATACATCTCAATATGGGACGTGAATTACTTCTATTAGGAAAAATAATAGTTTTCTTCCAATGAGAAATCATTTTTAAACTGATAAGAACAGATACTACACTTGATCTTAGCCAAAAGGCCGAGAAGCGAAGAGAGAAATCATTTTTAAATGCAACTAAATTCACACTATGTTGTAATCATCTATTATTCCATTCAAATAGTGTATTTTAAAGTGTTTTTTGGGGAGTGGCTGATAGACCTTGACAACTAAAAGGAACCCAAGAAAGAGATAAAGTGGGGAGGGTTGTGTGTCTACATTTATAAAAGCAAAATACACTGTTTTCATATTTCTAAGGACCTCTTGCCCTCTCTCTCACACCACAGAGACGAATAAATCTCATTTGACTTCTAACCTAATCAAAGCTCTCCTTTAGTAACAATTGCTTTCCCAGAAAAAAAAATATTATAAAATTGAGATTTCCAGACTGCTTCTGAGACTTCTTTTGTAGAGCTTTTTAGAATTTCCTCCTTACAGAAACCTTGAGTTTATAATCTCTTATTACAAAATGAAGGTCTTTACTATCTTCTCCTCATTCATGTCCCTGATGAATAACTAGTAAAGTTGGCTAATTAAAACCTGGCCTTTGGCCCTGCCTGGTTTGGCTCAGTGGATAGAGCATCGGCCTGTGGACTGAAAGGTCCCAGGTTCGATTCCAGTCAAGGGCATGTACCTTGGTTGTGGGCACATCCCCAGTGTGGGGTGTGCAGGAGGCAGCTGATCGATGTTTCTCTCTCATCGATGTTCCTAACTCTATATCCCTTTCCCTTCCTCCTCTCTGTAAAAATCAATAAAATATATTTAAAAAAACAAACAAACAACAACAAAAAAACCCAAAACTTTGATAGAGGGCAGGACTCAATTGACAGGCATAAATTTTTTCCAACTTCTGTTACAATGCAATTCTTCTCTTTCCAAATTAATGCAATATCTTCTTAGAGACTGTAAGTCAGCACAGTTACATGCATTAAGCATTGCCACCCAACATGGTATGCAGCCATAGGCCCTTAAAAAACTAATTTTAAATCTGAACACTTCTGTAACTCAGTCTTATCCCAAATCCACTATGTTTTTAGATCTGCTAAATGCTTATATATTTACATTGAGTATATTTAATGTTTACTACAATCTTTAGATGCAGAACTTACCATTCCCATTTTATAGAAGAGGAGATTATAAATTCAGTGCACTTGAGTTAACTTTCCAAAGATCAAAAATTCTGACTGTTTAAAAAGAAATCTTAGTTATCCACTAAGACCATGGTCTGTACATTAAACTGCACAGCTTTATTTTTCAGAACCTAAATACAAGTGGACTTTTTATTGATATACTAAACAGTGAGGCTCTGGAGTATAAGTGCTCAAACAAAAGTCTTTACACTAAAATTTGTGGAAGTTCAATGAGAAGACTTCCACCCAGTTCTGGACCAAATAGAAAAGACAAACAATTCTTTCCACTAAGTACAGCTAAAAGCACTGCATTATATATAAGTTGAATGCCAAGATGGAAAGGTGGAGAGAAGAAGACAGACTGTCTAGGGACCTTGGGATCCAAGGAACAATGTGGTGGTGAGCTCTCCAGGTTTTCTTTCTGCTTCATATATCACCTATTAACAGCTGGAGAAGCTTGCAACTAGAAAATGCCGATTGGAGCTGGCAAAAGAAAAGGAAAAAAAACTGGAGGAAAAAGGAGGAGAGGGGAGGGAAGTCTGTTCTTTCTAGCCAAAGCATGAGAAAAGACACAACCTAGCAAGACAGAAAACTTTCAGAAAACAGCTACACTATCCAAGCCAAACACCACAGAAAATAACCTCAGTTTCATCCATGGAAGCATCTCTCCCCTTGTAAACCCTCCACCCTCTGCTAGGGTAGTATCATAGAATAAGACCAAGTACTAGGTTCCCCTTAATAATTTCAATAGAGGCTACTTGGGAATCCAGGACTTCCACCTAAACCACAGTACCAGTGTCAGAGGAAGCCAAATGAGAATATAATGAACAACATAAACTGATGAACAAAAACAGATCCAGAGACATAGAAGCATCGATCAGACCGTCAAACCTCAGCGGGAAGGTAGGGGAGGGTGGGAGTAAGGGGGAGAGATCAACCAAAGAACTTGTATGCATGCACATAAGCCTAACCAATGGACACAGACACCAGGGGGATGAGGGCATGAGAGGGATGTCGGGGAGGTAATTTGGGGATAAGGACACATATGTAATACCGTAATCAATAAAGAAATTTTTTAAAAAACGGTAACGGGCAGGTTTGATCCCATCTCCCTCTCAGGCAATTTTTGTGCTCTGAAAAATAAAAATTGAGCTGAGAAGACTGAAAAAGATAAATAAGTAAATAAAATAAATAAAAGAAACTGAAACTTTAACCACCATTCATTTATCCAGCCTTAATGAGACTCCTATCCCCCTGTGGTATAAGTGTAAGCCATATGGGATCAATATAAAAATGCTCTTCCTCCTTAAAGGTGTCAAACAAAGCTTAGTAGGAAGCCTGTACTCTCACTCCTACAAGCACAAGGTCAGGAGAGGTGTGCTAAAACATAAGATTTAAACAAGATCCAGAGTCTCATAGCGCAGTACCCAAAACATCCATGATGTAATCAAGAACTACTTATAACAAAAAGAAGAAAATCTAACCTAATTGACATCTGTAGGACATGCCAAAAATCAGCAGCATACACATTATGTTCAAGCACCTATGGAACATTTATCAAGACATACTATAAACTGAGACATAAATCAAACTCCAAAAAATTTTCAACAATTTAAATCAGAGTATGTCCTTTAACCAAAATGGAATCAATCTCAAAGTCAGTAACAGAATGGTAGCAGGAAAAACTCCAAGCACTTAAAAGCTAAGCAATATACTCTAAATAATTCAAGAGTCAAGAGGATGTCCCAAGGAAAATTTAAAAATGTATTAAATCAGATGATAATGAAAATATAACACCAAAATCTGTGTGACATTACTAAAGCAGTGCTCAATGCTTGGAGTTGAAAACGGGAAAAGTCCATAATCAGTCATCTAAGTTCCCAACAACTACCACAACTTGCCTAATATAAAGTAGGTCATTTTAGCAGCTCTATAACTATTTTTAAATTGAATTTTTAATTTTAAAACTGCTGAAAAAGAAGTCTCCAGGCCCAGATAGTTTCATTAGAAAATTCTCCTAAATATTTAAAGAGAAATTAACACCAATTCTACACAATCTCTTTCAGAAATACCATAGAAGAGGAAGGAACACTTTCCAACTCATTCTAAAAGGCCAGTATTACCCTGATACCAAAACCTGACAAAGACCAAAAAAGAAACTACAGACCAATATCCCTTATGAATATAAATGTAAAAATCTTTAATAAAATATTATCAAATAGGATTCATCAATATATAAAAAGAACTATATGCCATGAATACATGGGTTTTATTCTAAGGAAACCAGGCTGACTCAAGGTTCAAAATCAATCAATATAATCCAACATATTAACAGGCTAAAGAAGAAAAAAATCCCATGATTATGTTAATCTATGGAGAAAAACGAATTCTACACCCATTCATGATAAAAAAATCAAAATGCAGAGAATTAGAAACAAAGAACTTCCTCATCTTGATAAAGAACAACTATAAAAAAACTCATATACTAATGTCTGTAGAAGCTTTATTTACAATAGCCAAACATTAGAAGTAATCAAAATATCCTTTGATAGAGAATGTTTAAACTGTGGTATATCTATACCATGGAATGCTACTAAACAATAAAAAGGAATGAACAATACAACAATTTCTATGGACCTCAAAGAATATGAGATTGAGTGAAAAAATTGTCAAAAAATGACATACTGTATAATTCCATCTATATATATAAAAGCCCAGCAACCCTTAAGGTGGAACGACCAGAATTGGAACTACTGGTGGCTATGATGCACATTGCAGCAGCCAACCAGTCTGATCCAGCCCGGATTGGCACCCCCCCACCACCAACGTTCTGAGGCCCCCCCCAATCTCCTGTGGCCCCTCCCGCTCACTGGCCTCACCCCCTATCAGGCTCCCCCACACCTGCTGGTCGCAGGCACAGGGAGCACCGACTGAGCTATTGGCACCCCTTCTGAGGGGAGACCCCCGCCAGGTATACAGAAGGTATACGGAAGGCACTCAGTGAGGAGTCCGCGTGGGTTGTGTTCACACCTTCATACTGCCTCCCCACCCCCCCCACCCCCCACCACCAGCACAATGCTGAGGCAGCCTGATTCAGAACCCGTGCTGACCACCCACATGGAGAAACAGCGTGTGATAAACATCATGTCCCCTAGATGCCTGAATCTGCCTCAAGAATAAGACACTACAGACCCAGAGCGGGCAGATCAGAACTAAGACAGGAGGTCTGGGAAAAGCAGGGCTGCGGATGGCCGTGTTCTGCTTTTGCTGCCCGACTCTGCTCGCCGGCCCGCTCTGTGTGCAGAGCGCCTGCATCCTATGGAGGCCTGTGAGTGAGTGAAGAACTGTGGCTGTGCCTGTGGCTGCGCTCGGCCTCTAGGCCCCACGGATAAGCAGGAAACATATTTACGTGCCAGAATCTAAACACCTCTTTATCGGTAATAGAGCAATTAATGCAAGACCCACACTGGTTTCTAAACAGGACTCTGTCCGGCTGCGTGTGAACCCAGATCGAAGGTGTGCTCTCTGCCGAGGAGGCTGCAAAGGCTGCTCCTCTCTTGAACGCACACAGCCTGGAGAAGTTTAAAGGGAAAAGGAGATAAAGAATAAAACAAAATAGCAACAGTCTGAAGCTGCTGCCGATGCTGTCAAATCCTCTGCGTAGTGGTGATGTCAGAGCCCCTCTCCCCGCGCCCTGGGCTCAGATGGGCGAGCCACTGACACCTGCTAGGTCGCCTGGCACCACGCGGCCACTTTCAACCTCCCGCCAGCTCCTGGAGGTGGGTGGGCTTGCAGATGGAGGCTTCAGTGTTAAAGTAACCCTGTTAGTGTAGCACAGATATGCGTAGGCTTTTTGATGAGAGAGAACCCATAACATCCCTTCACAAATGTGTTTTTAACTGTTCTGAGATCACGCTCTCAGCCTTGGCGATTCTAAAATAGGCCTCAGCGATTCCACTCGCCCAATGCAAAGACTGACCCAGGTTTCATGGAGACCGAATCCTCGCCCCTGGAGAAGCCGCCTCCTTTCAAAAGGAAGGTCACCCTGGTTGCAGGTCCTTGCTCTTGGGCACTTCAAATATTTCTTGCCACGCCCTTCTCTACCCAGCAAAGCTCATTTAGAATTGAAGGCCACATAAAGAGCTTCACAAGCAAGAAAAAGCTAAAAGAGTTCATCACCCCCATTGGGGGCGGGGCGGCTGGCCAACCTCCTGTGTCCCCTCCCCCTGGCCCACCCTGCCTGATTGCCTGATCGGGGCCACCCGGACTCCACCCATGCACAAATTCGTGCACTGGGCCTCTAATTTATACAATATTCTTAAATAATAAAATTATGGAATGAGAGAAGAGATTGGTTACTGTTAAGAATTAGGAATAGTGGGGATTAGGAGGTATCGTAAGAGGGATTTTGTGGTGATTGAATACTTCTGTATCTTGATTATAGTACTAGGTCACATGAATCTACTAGTACACGTGATAAAACAGCATAGAGCTATACACACAAATTAAAACAATGTCAATTTCCTGGTTTTGATCATTCTGGTCTAGTCACATGATGTGGGGAGATGATTCCCTTATCAAGTCACATGAAAACCACAGAAGACAAAAAGCTATGGCCATTTTAGTCTTTCAGGATTGAAGAGTAGGACTTAGGGTGTGCACCAATCAACCCAGCGCTTAGGAAATGGATAAAGCGTACATGGCACCTCTCTGTATTACTTTGCAACTGCCTATGAATCTATAATTATTTCAAAATAAAAAATATTAATTAGTGAAATGAGACTCACCATAGTTTAAAACTATTTTTTGAACTTGTTTGAACTTTGCCACCATTTCAAAAGAGAGACTGTCGATACAGTTGATATCTAAAACATAAGCCACACAGTGAATCCTGTCCTTCAGTGATGGAGAGGTGATGAAGGTAGGATGTCTGGATGTAATTGGTTGCTGGGGCCTAAACTGTTAGAGGAACATAAGGTAACATTTAGAGAGTCTCTGCTGAATTCTTTAAGACAAAATTCATTTTTCAAATGTGACCACCATTAACCCCCATAATTTTCCCTTCCTACAGCTCCTCTTCCCCCAGATTTATTAATATTGCCCCTTCCATATTTTCTTTCCACTGAGAGCATAATGCATTATATCTTTGTTATAAAAAAAAAAACCCACTTTGTTATTTTGGTGAATAATTATCCATAATTCACATTATCCAGAAAAATGACCATTATCAATGCTAAACACCATTTAAGACTCCTCTCTAAGCATTTTACATACTTACTAATGAATAGAGAGAAAAGGAGAAAATACACTGCAAATCCCATTAAAAGTAAAATACTATAATTTCTTTTTATTTTCCAGAAGAAAAAAAAAAAACTATAGTAAAACAGAAGAAATACCAAATTTCAAATTCATGCTAATATTGCCTTACCACAAGACAATAATCTTTCTAGGATTAGGAAAATAGATGACAAAACATAGTAAAAGATTGATTCATTATGTTTTAAATTGATCTTTATTGCTGGAAATATTACAGATGTCTCCCTTTTTCCCTGACCTTTTACTGGAAGTAGAACCCTGCCTTTTGGATATATTTCTGAATTCTATAGAAAAGAAGAGCAGTAACTCTACTTATGAGAATACTTACTCATATAAAGTACAGTAGTGTTGTCTAATGTTGAAATCACCTTATGATAGTTAAAAATTCCTTATGGAGTAAAAATTCAACAAAAAGCAAAATAAAATTATTTTGAAATGTTTTAGAGGACTAAAAAGTTCTTACATGATATCTGTCCGGCACACAGCCTTTAAAGATGTGGGGTATATCATCCATACACAGTCCTACTCCCCCTTTCTCATCCAGCCCCATGGTGTCACACAACGTAAATGGCAGAGATTTTCCATCTTTTTCATCTTGAATAGAATACATCCTATACTGCAAAAAAAGGGGTAGGTGTAAAATTGCATTCTTCAACCAGCATTCATGACAGTAGAAAGACCAGAGACTGGTTAATATTTGAACACTGCTATCCTCAAACATTTTGGTCTCAGAATCACCTTAGACTCTTAAAAATTATTGAGAATTCCACAGATATTTCATACGAGTTACATTTATTAATACTTGACATAAATTAAAACTGAAAAAATTTTAAATATTCCTTAAATCATTTAAAAATGTAATTATGAACCTATTACATGTTAACCTAACCAAGATTTCTATGAAAAAATAAAATTACTTTCCAAAAATATTATTAAAAAGAATGGGATTGATTTACTTTTTTGCAAATCTTTTTAGTGTTTGGATTAATAAAAGATAGTTGGATTCTCATATCTATCTCTGCATTCAATCTGTTGTAATATATTGTTTTGGTTGAAGTATATAAAGAAAATCAGGCATCATACACATGTAGTTGTTAAGGGAAGAAGTATTTAATTTAACATTTTTCAGAGAATTTTGTATATTCCTCATTAATATACATGAAAATTCAACAAGTGGTAAGTTCTCAAAAATAAGCTGCAATATGGAATTTGTGGCATTTTCATACTCTGTTACATTAAATTCACTGATCTATCTTACACTTTGAAATAGATTTTATCCACAAATAATTTGGTAACCTTATGCATTGGTCATTTAAAATATCAGTTCACTGGCTGGTTTACCTAGATTTTCCAAATATTAAACACATTTATCCTATATAATAAAGAGGTAATATAATAAAGAGTAATATGCAAATTGACCAACCCTTCAACACACAAGATTGCCGCCCCTATGTGGACACAAGATGGCCAGCAGGGGAGGGAAGTTGTGGGTGACCAGGCCTGCAGGGGAGGGCAGTTGGGGGAGACCAGGCCTGCAGGGGAGGGCAGTTGGGGACAATCGGGCAGGGGAGCAGTTAGATGTCAATCAGGCTAGCAGGGGAGTGGTTAGGGGGTGATCGGGCTGGCAGGCAGGCGAGTGGTTGGGAGCCAGCAGTCCTGGATTGTGAAAGGGATGTTCGACCGCTCGTTTAGGCGAGTTTGAAGAGCATGTGATGTTACAGTTAAAGTTCTAAATACTTCATCAAAAGGGAATTAGTCAAGCTCTCTGAAAGTGTTTTAACTCTTAATGTGGTGTACAGGGAGATATTAGAATAAGTTTAATCACTTTATCAGTCATTGTTTGCATCACTGTTGTTTTTGTTGTTTTCATATCATGTTTTTGTCGTTTTCATAACATGCCTCTGTTGTTGTTATATCCTTTTGTTACTGTTTATTTATTAATAAATTTATATATTATTTTCATATACATTTTACTAATTTCCTTTCATCTTTCACACTTCTATTATAGAGAAAGGGAAATAGCAATATTAAAATATCTCTGCTAATTAATTCCCTTTTAATGTGCACGAATTTTGTGCACTGGGCTACTAGTCTATAATAATAAAAGTGTAGCCGAAACCGGTTTGGCTCAGTGGATAGAGCGTCGGCTTGCAGACTGAAAGGTCCCAGGTTCGATTCCGGTCAAGGGCATGTACCTGGGTTGCGGGCACATCCCCAGTAGGAGATGTGCAGGAGGCAGCTGATCGATGTTTCTCTCTCATCGATGTTTCTAACTCTCTATCTCTCTCCCTTCCTCTCTGTAAAAAATCAATAAAATATATTAAAAAAATAATAATAAAAGTGTAATATACAAATCTATCAAAGGGCTGAACAGCGAAAAGACCATCTCAATGACCATGCTATGACACCCACTGGCACCATGCCAGCAAAGGCAGGTGCGATGTGATTGGTCAGGGGCCCAGCCATTGCCCCATGATATGATCACCCCAAAGAGGGAGGCCCAGGCCAGAGACCCACGAGCTGCAGTGGGTGGGCAGGGCCTCCCTCTCAGGTTGTGATCAAGATCATGGGGCTCCCAGACTATGAGAGAGTGCAGGCCGGGCTGAGGGACCCACGCCCCCAAGTGCACAAATTTTATCCACCAGGCCTTTAGTATAAAATAAAGCCACTCACATGGATAGAATCTAGACAACTTCAACAAACAAAATGTGATTCTTGAAAATCCTAGAAAATGCTTTCAGTTATTGAATATGGCACTAAAGTGGGCCATTATATTTTTATGATAAATGTTGCACTGGCAAAGCACAGCTTATAACCTATAACCTATCAGAAGATAACAATATTAGGTTGTAGTGATGATATATAAACACAGCTTGGTTATGAAATTTCTTATTTATTATTTTTTATTATTCTTTGTTTGATTGTATGATATCATTTTGACAAACATAAAATGGGAGTTTCTAGGTAAATATTGCATCATAATTTGCAGATCTTTAGAGTAACAGTTTTTAAATGGTATTAGTATTTATTTCCTTAAACATATTTGTTTAGAAATAAGAAGGTGTTTGTAGGAAAATTATAGACTTACTCTCTGAAGGTTGACCCATTAAAGGGAATTGCTATTTTGTTGCTCATTATTATTTCTTATAAAATGATCTTATGTGATGGGAACTTCTGTATTACATAATTCCCATTTCTTTTTTTTATAAAAAGAGAAAATCATTTCAATCCAGATAAAGCCATGTGGGACATGAGCAAAAATATACATTAAATATAATGATTGAAGATTTACACAAAGTTTTTACAGTTTTGTTGCTGTTTTGTACAAGTCCCAAAATCATTCTTCATATAACTACTTCTTGCATCCATAAAAATGGAAAGTCTTGCTGTATAATTTAACTTCATGGAGGTAGATCTCATTCAACTTTTACTCATTTTTACAGTTGATTTAGCATTTAATTGTTTGTAGATTAAAAGGAGGTTATTGGTCTGAGAGAAAATGGCAAAAAAATCAATAAACCTAATAATTGTAATTTATAAAAATTCTCAGGAAATTCAGAGATAACTTACCAGTTCAGTAATGCTAGTGACATCAGACCCCACTGCAGCTTGGCGAGTCACATGACCTCGGAAAACAGACTTCACTGAATTGAAAAAACTGGACTTTCCAGACCCAACTGGACCCAGCAAGAGAATATTAATTTCTGAAACCAAATCTGTGCAGGGTGTGTAGGCTCTGAGCTCTGATAGGAGCTTATTTCTGAACCTGTTAAAATATGGTAGTTAAATACAACAGCCAAACTTCCATGAAGAACAGCACAATTCTTCCAGAGCTTCTTGACTCCAATTTTTAAAAATGTTTTAATTACTTAGTTATTATCTTTATGTTAAAATCTTCTATCATATGATTTGAATGGTCTAGGTCAGTGATGGCAAACCTTTTGAGCTCGGCGTGTCAGCATTTTGAAAAACCCTAACGAAACTCTGGTGCTGTGTCACATATAGAAATTTTTTTATATTTGCAACCATAGTAAAACAAAGGTTTATATTTTTGATATTTATTTTATATATTTAAATGCCATTTAACAAAGAAAACTCAACCAAAAAATGAGTTCAGGTGTCACCTCTGACACGCGTGTCATAGGTTCACCATCACTGGACTAGGTTATGTACTTTGTGCTTGAAGAAAATGCATTTGTCTATATCTGACTAAAGTTAAACATTGACCAGCAACCAAATCATTGTCAAACTATTAGCTTTAGACCACATATATCTATAAGAAATATCAACAACAGTGAAAATGCATTATTATTTTCAGTAGTAATATTATATTAAAAAGAAATAAAAATAAAATATATGCAATGCAGAGAAATTTACCTATAATTGGGGAAAGATGGCTTGGTTTTGAAAATTTGCTGACATTCTCCAAAAACTTTATTCATATAGAAAAACTTCAGAAACATTGTCTAAAATAGTCATCTAGACTTTGTCTAGAAAACTTTGAATATTACAGGTCGAAAGTAAAACCTGAAGTTAAATTGTCATCAAGTGGATTTTTAAAGTGGCCTACAATTGGTCATGTTTTATTTTTGTTGTTATTGTTCTAAACTACTTTGAACATATTATGTCAATAGCATCATAATTCATTTTTATCACTCCAAGTGATTTTTATTTTGATATTTCTTTAATAATGCCATATGTACAATTATTCTAAACTAGAGGCCCAGTGCATGAAAATTCATGCACTGGGGCGGGGGGGGGGGGGTGGTCCCTCAGCCTGGCATGTCCCCTCTCACAGTCCAGGAGCCCTCAGGGGCAGGAGGCGACGTGGTGATCAGCAGAAGGCGACACCCCATCACAGCTCTGCTGCTGCCACTGCCGGCAGTGCAAGCCTCAGCTGGCCCTAGTTACCTAAGCCTCGGGCTGGCTCTGGGTGGCTGGGCAGCCACCATCCGAGGCTTGCCTGCACCTCGGACTGGCCCTGGGCAACTGGGCAGCTACCATCCAAGGCTTGCCTGTGCCTTGGGCCAGCCCTGGGCAGCTGGGGGGCTGAGGGGACTGGGGGACTCTAGAGGCAGGGGCAGCAATGCTGGGTCCATGGGCTTTGCCGCATGTCTGCTGCCCCAATGGGGCTGAGGGGACTGGCCACTGCCATCTTGTGGCTGTGGGTGCCACTATCCTTGAGGGTGGGGCAGTCAATTAGCATATTCCCTCCTTATTGGCTGTAGGCGCTGCCATCTTTGCGATGGTGCGAGGGTCAATTAGCATATTTCCTCTTTATTAGATAGGATGAAATGAGTAATTAGTCCAACTTACTGTGCAACTCCTGTTATCCTCCTTATGTAGCCTTTATTATTCTTAATTCCTATAGGAAATAAAACAGCATCATAATTTTTTAAACTTCTTCAGTTCTCTTTTTAAAGTCTTATTAAATGTGGTCTACCTTATAAATAAGGCATTAAGTGTGCTTGCATAACTCAGGGTTGAGCTGTTCAATGAGGAATTAGTGTTGGCAACATAATAAGAAGAGGAAAGAGTACCTTCCCAATGTGGCAGGATAGTAAGAAGCTGGAAAAATTCCTGGGCAAGCAGAATGGGGAAACTGAGACAAGATAATTAAACAGGGCCAAACAATTTGAACAACTTACAGTCAGTTAATGAATCACAAGATTTTATCTTCCCTAAACAAGGACACTTGAGAGCAAATGGTTTATAACTCTTCTCCCTAACCAGAGGATACATAGCTTAAATCACTCTGGTCAGGGAAACAGAGAACAGAAACCAAGTTAACGCCATTTGTGCCAGCTAAACCCAAGGACAGATGAAGTCAGGGGAATGAATAGCAAAAACCCGATTAAAGCCACAGATACCCAAGATAAAATTAAAACAGTAAAGCAGGCCAAAGAAAAATCTCAAATACCCCCGTACACTCATTTTGATCTATCAGCATATTTAAAACATACCTGGAAAGCTAATGAATATTCTGCTGAAACTCTCCCCTAAGATTCTCACCCAGAGAAGAGAGATACAAACTCTCAAGACAAAGACCCAGTGTGGGGCATGGACTTTTTACTTCCTCCTAAACTCCAAGGGTTCCTATGAGGTTTAAAACCAGGGAAGCAGCAGGTAGTGACAGCTCTTCCCAGATTTACTCCCCACTCCTTTCCCCAATCCTGTCTCCAAGGACCTCTTTTTCTTTGACCTTCCAGTGAACTGAAAGCATCTCTACCTTGGCTCACTTCTATCACTGTGGCCTTCACTTTCCAGTGAGCTAACAGCAGTCCCACCTTGGCTCACTTCTTCCCTATAACCTTTCTAGAGAGCCAAAGCAGAGCACCACCTAAGCTCTCCCTATTGCTTCTTCCACCCTAAGTCCTTCGTTTCATTGTCCCCAGCTTTAGTAAAAACATATTCTCAAAATAACCTGGACTCATGCTGTGAAATATTTCCTACACAAAGTCAAGAACCCACACACTACAGGCCAGCCAGGGGCAGACCCACTCCATGCCAGTCCCATCTGGCAACATCAACACATTAACTCAGTTTGGAAATATACACATACACATGCCTAGAAATTTTCAGACTAACCAAAAACCAAAATAGACCTGCTATGATAATGAGGTCTGTTTCTTTCTCTTTCTCTTTCTCTCTCTCTCTCTCTCTTCCTCTCACCCCCTGACCCCGATCTCCATTTCTGTGTCTTCACTTACATTTACCAATTTAGTTTGCTCAACGGCCTATACTTTCCAGTCTCCTAGGTTTCATTTGGAGTTTCTGAAAGAGAAAATTGATGGCATGAAATCTGTTTGTTCCTTTCACATTTCCTTTTGCTTATAGATCAGCGAGAGGCCTGGTGCATGAAATTCTTGCACAGGTAGGGTCCCTAGGCCTGGCCAGTGATCAGGGCTGATTGGCTACCGGCCGGGGCCTTCCTTCATTCCACACCACCCCCTGGTGGTCAACACACATCATAGCAAGCGATTGTTCAAACTCCTGTGGGGACAATTTGCATATTAGGCTTTTATATACAGAGATTATAACCTACCAAACACAAAGACTGGAGTGAAAATGTAGGAGTATCTAACATACCTTCAACTCGAAAAACTTCACATTCCAAATAATTTGTGGAGTTGAGACCTTTTATTCCTAATGGAATCTTTAATGATGGATGAATAAAAACTTGGGACTTGTGTGGAATTAAGGAAAAAATGATATCATTAGAGGAATAAAATTCCAGTTTTTCAGAAACAATTTCTGGTTTCACATTAAAAAATGTAGTTGTTTCAGTTTTATTAGTTTTAAGTGAAAAATAGAAAGAAGAATTTTGATTTCTACAATATTCACCCTTTTGAGGATAATTCCCAAGTAAAAATGCCCCAACAATATAGTTGGGAAAGTAAGTCACTGTTATAGTGGATCCTTGATGATTGCACTTATTAAGCATATCTTCAATGGAACATTCATGAACACTAGACTTATAAAGAAGACTCAAGGAAACATTTCCAAGCAGCTTTTGCAGAGTCTTTTCCTCATTCCATGTCAATCTGGTTGTCACTGCCATTGTTCTGTATCTAATGGAAAAAAACAATAATAGGTTAAGAGGAAAGTATAGCATAGTGGTTCAAAGTAGAGATCTCTGCTTCTAGTTCTAGTAGTTATTTTTTCTCTGACCTAATTAAAATATGTTATTTGAAATATAAGGCAATAGAAGTGGAACAATAGGTAGATATTAAAAATAGGTAATTTGGATATAAAAATATAAAGTTTTTTAAACCAGTAGGCAAAATAAAATACATAGTGAGTAAAGAATTTAAAAATTATAAATCAGAAAACCTTTTCTTAATGATAATTAGTAAATATTTTGGGCTTTGTGGCCATATGGTCTCTGCCACAGTTACACAACTTTGTCAATGCAAAAGCAGCCAGAGACAATATGTAAACAAATAATCATGACTGTATTCCAATAAAACTTTCTTTACAAAAACAAGTGGTTGACACACAGGCCACAGTTTCCTAGATCATGAATTAGAAGATAGAAATGAGGAATTCATACAGAAAAGACCTCACAAAGAAAGAAATTGAAATATGAAGAGTGTTAACAGTAATGGAGTTCCTAGAGTGGCAAAATGTAACAATAGCCATTGTGCCAATTCTTGCAATGAGAAAAATTAGAAATGCAAGATAAACTGTAAAAATTTACAGAACTAACAAAGCAGTGAAGATTTTTCATTTTTCTTTTTCCAAAGATTGCAAAAAGAAGTGAATATAGAGAACTAAGCTTGGCATGTGGGAGCACATTTCCCAGAGGTGAATTTATCTACCACAGAAGAGGTACCTAAGTTGCTGAGAAATTAGCCAAAGTGTTCACTAGACTCATTAAGCTAAGGTAATATGGCACAGCAAGGAAATGCTTCGCAACTCTCCCTCCAGGCTATGGATTAGGATTCTGAAGAACAAGGAATAAGTGAGGGTGGGTGGACTGGGAGTAGACAGATTTAATCCCATTTGCTAATAATCTCAATCTATGACAGGGTTAAGATAAAGGAGAATGCTAGTGCCTATAGATAGATGCATGATTCATGAAAAATAAATCTTGTGTAAATAAAGAGAACATTGTTTTAGCTTCAAATTATCTCTGCAATCTTTTTTTTTAAAATACCAAATGCCGCATACTGATCATAAACACAAGGACAAAACAAAACAACATGCTAGAAAGCCAAGAAAAAACAAAAACAAGAAAAAGAAAACAAACCCAACTGATATTGGAGTTACCCACATAGATTTTTAAATAAATATGCTTGGCTTATTCAAATAATTAAAACATAAGATTTAATGCTTGACAGCACAATGGAAAAAATTAAGAAGAAAAGAAGAAATTCTGGATTTAAAAATCTATAAATCTGAAATCAAAAACTTGAAGAATACACTTAACATCAAGTTATACACATTATAAGGAAGAATTAGTCAGAAGAAAATACATCAAATGGAAGCAATGAGACAAAATACAAATCTGATACAACTATATGGACATTTTACTAGAGTTAATTTTCTCTCTATAGTACCCAGTGCTTAAAATTTTCATTAAAAAGCAAAACATATGAACAACAAAAATATGATCATTAGCACCAATTTCATTCAGAAACTCTTTAAGAAAAAAAAACAAAAACAGGCCATTTTCTTCACAAAAGGAGAAAACATTAAATGGCAGGAAGTCACTGACCTGTTTTTAAAAGCTGGATCAGGCCTAAATGGAGTATGAACTGCTCCGTCTGGCTTGTGCAGCAGCCACACTCTGGAGACAGAAAGTTCTGCTGAGATCCTTGCCTTCCTGGTCTGAAAGAGAGGAAACTGAAACTCAAAGCATCATTCAGCTGGCAGCATGCCAGGTGACATTAAGTTTCTTTTTCCCAGCCAGAAAAAGACAGAAAAACAAAGCCAAGCAGAAAAGAATAAGATTCCCACTGAGCACATGAAAATGATCTTTGATTCCCTATGTCCCCACATATAGGCTTTCATGAAATGCCAAATATTAATTTTAAAAATTCCAATAAAGCTAATAACTAACAATAGATTACATGAAGCAAAGGACTAATTCTGCTATTTGGAAGATATGGTAGTAGAAAACACCCAATCAGAAACATAAAGAGAAAAAAAAATCTATAAAAATGAGGATAATTTAAAGGGCCTCTGGGATAACAACAAGTGTAGCAACATTTGTATCATAAGGTACCAGAAGCAGAAGACAGAGCAAGGAATTAAAGTCCTATTTGAAGAAATAATGACAAAAAAACTTCCTTAATCTGGTCAAGGAATTAGACATATAAGCACAGGAAGTACAGCATCTCAAACAAGATGAAGTCAACGATGCCTATATCAAGATACATCATAATTAAAGGGTCAAAGGTTACAAAGGGAGAATCTTAAAAACAGCAAGAAAAAAAGCAGTTAGTTACCTACTCAGGAGCTCCCATAAGACTGTCAGCTGATTTCTCAACGGAAACTTTGCAGGCTAGAAGGAACTGGCACAAAATATTCAAAGTGATGAAAAGTAAAGGCCTACTAACAAGGTTACTCAGCAAAGCTATCATTTAGAATTAAAGGACAGATAAAGAACTTCACAGAGTAGAAACAGATAAAGGTGTTTTACAAACCAGTGTTACAAGAAATGGCAAAGGGTCTTTTTTAAGAAGAGAAAAAAAGATAACAAATAGGAATAATAAAATGGCAATAAATGCATAGTTATCAACAATAACTTTAAATGCAAATGGATTAAACGCTCCAAACGACATAAGATGGCTGAATGCATAACAAAATAAGACCCATATATGCTGCCTACAAAAGAATTGGAATGCAAACTGGTAAAGCCTTTTTGAAGGGGAATTGAACAATATATAAGAAAAGTATGCATGCCCTTCTCTTTTGGCCAATAATCCCACTTCTAAGAATCTATCTTGGAAATACAATGCAAAAAATACATATACACAAGGTTATTCATTGGATCATTGTTTATCATTGAAACATATCAGAAGCAACCTAAATGCCCACACATAAGAGATCAGTTGAAGAAATGATGGTACATTACACAGTGGAGAACTATGCAGAATATACTGTTAAGTGAAAAAAGTAAGTGCAAAAACAAGAATATTTATAGTGATCCAACTTTCATGTAAGGAAAAAGAAAATATACACGTGTGTACTCATTTGTGCAAAAGAAATACAGGAATAGTACACCAGAAACTAGAGAGATTGATTAGTTACTAGCAAGTGGGAAAGGGATAAAATAAAAGGGGGAGTAAGAAAGAGGTAGTAGGTATAGGGAAAGAGCGTCACTTCTCAAAATATACCCTTTTGTATGGCTGTTACTCTTAGAACTATATTAATGCTTCACACACTAAAATAAACAAACAAATAAATAAACAAATCATTAAAATCAATGAAGGTGTAGGGGGAAATCGAAATACAATCGAGTAGTTCCACTCTTTATCTGCAGTTTTTCTTTCCACTGCTTCAGTTACCTGGAGTCAACCATAGTCTAAAAATATTAAATAGAAGATTCTAGAAAGGAAAAAATTTCCAATTTTCATTGCATGCCTTTCTGAGTACCTCACCTCATCTCATTATGTATCCATTGTATCATCTCACATCATAACAAGAAGGGTGAGTATTTGATGATAAGATATTTTGAAGGAGATAGAGGAGGGGGGTGGAGAGAGAGAAAGGCCACATTCATAAAACTTTTATTTTAGTATAGTGTTATGATGATTCTATTTTATTATTATTTATTGTTGTTAGTCTCTTACTGTGCCTAATTAATAAATTAAACTTTGTTAGACATATGAATATATGCATAGGAAATTATATGGTATATACGTGGTTTGGTATTATCCTCAGTTTCAAGCATACATTGGGAGTCTTGGAATGGATCCCTTCTGTGTAAGGGCAACTACTCATAGACAATAATGAATGAACCTAATTGTGTGCCTATAATTAACATAACACTGAAGGAGAGGAATGGGGAGGAAAAGAATTAATCTAAATAACTTCAGAAAACAGTATTTTGACTATATACTCTAAAGCTAAAGATATAAAGAACTGTAAAACACCATACTCTGGTTAATAAATGTGTTCACCATAAGGATTCAGGTTAGGAACTTTGAAACAAATTGTTCATACTAAAATTGAACAAAAATCATAATAAATACATTGTAAATAATAAGCTCTAGGTTTCTCTTTGTCAAAAATGTTACAAATAAGAAAAAGAAGGCTAGCAGGAATCCTGTGATCATGTATTAGAATTGCAGGAATTGGTATAACACACATACAAAACGATAGATAAAGAAACAAATATAGATGTTTGTTTGTGTGTGGATTAGGATAGAAACATATATTTCTAGAACTGTCCACTGAGAAAGCAATGGCACTGTAGAAGTGAGCATGTTTAGTCTAAGATCTCGGTTTCCAAATACAGTCATGCATGCCGGGGTTCTTGTTCCAGCATCTAGAAGGGTTAAGCAATCTGAGAAGGGGCTGTGTGTAACTTAAGAGTCCAGAGAGGAAGCATAATTTTGAAAGTCATTTGGGGGTTAGAGGAGCTTAGCTAAAAGGAACTAAGATCTCCTCGTCTCAGGACCCCATGCTTTTTATTAACATAAATTGTCCTAAGGTGAGGTAGATATACACTTCAAAGTGACGGGGTTTTGTACACAGAGGCATTGTCAGAATGGGGGAATTTGCCTACGGGGCTGTTCAGGTGTTTGGCCAGCAGGAGGGAATAACATGAAGATTAAGATGCCCTGAGGTGTCTGGCAGCAAGCAATGATTTTAATGCATCCTTTTCAGGTTTGGGGAAATGACCTTCAGACACTCCAGATGATTCAGCCCTTGCTGACATGCTGGAATTGGCTTCCAGCAATGCACTGCTTAACAATAGAGCTACATTTTAATAATTGGTGCAAATATCATAGAGTGTACTTCCAAAACCCAGATGGAATAGCCTACAGCACCCCTAGGCCACATTGTAGAGCCTATTGCTGCTGGGCTACAAACTGGTATAGCATGTTATTATACTAAGTACTGTAGGCAACTGTAACACAATGGTAAGCTCTTGTGTATCTAAACATATCTAAACATAGGAAGGTGCAGTAAAAATATGTATAAAAGATTTAAAAAAATGGCACACCTGTGTCGGGCACTTACCATGAATGGAGCTTGAAGGCCTGGAAGTTGCTCTGGGTGTCAGTGAGTGGTGGTGAGTGAATGTAAAGGCCTAGGACATCACTGGGCACTGCTGTGGGCTTTATAAACACTGTGCACTTAGATTACACTGAATTTATAAAACAATATGAAACTAAATCAGGCACAAGAGAAAATGATGCGATCAAGAGTCACAGTAAACACAAGATATATGAAGATGTTGCCAGTGTAACACAATATACTGATTTACAGCAAACTTCGCTTTTATGAGTAGAAAGATACACTCTAAAATAATAATAAAATAGTAAATACATAAATCAGTTACAGGTGTTGGCTATCATTATCAGTTATCATATACTGCACATAATTGCATGTGCTGCACTTTTATACCACCTGCAGCACTGTAGGTTTCTTTACACCAGCATCGTCACAAACGTGTGAGTAATGTGCTGTGTACATCGTGGCTACATCTATGACATCATTAGGTGATAGGGATTGTCAGCTCCATTTTAACCTTATGGGACCACTGCTGTATGTACAGTCTATTGTTGACCAAAGCATCGTTATGGTGTGCATGACTCTATCATTCTCCAATAAAAAGAACCAGAGCTCTTTGGACAAATGTTTTATTCCAGGTCCAGGACAGGAAAAATACAAAACAAACCTGGAGCTTTTTGTGGTGCAAGAAAGTAAAGAGGTGCTCAAAAATATAGGGAAAAGACACAGTTTGACCAAAAGGGGAATAACTTGAGAAACAAAATAAATAATGACAGTATTGGATTAAAACCCATGGAACAAAAATAAATAGCCATGAGTCCTGTCAACCAATGGTCATTGGCACCAGTTCAACAAGAATCCCCATTTTGGGGTGCAATGAAGAAGAAAACTTTATTCAGTGCAAATCACCTCAATTGTGATACAGTATGGCTGTGAAAACAGCACGGCTTTACCTTGCTCTGGCTCAGATGGCAGAACCACAGTGCAGGTAGGCAGTTAAGTGCAGAGGCAGAAAGTTCAGAGCAGGCTTCTCCATGAAGTGCAGTTTGTGTGAGAGGCCCCTGTGCAGACCTGGTTACTAGAGTGTTGTTGTTGTTTATTAATTTTAGCCCAGTTAGCCACCAGGAGCCCTTCTTAGTATGTATACCAGCCTCAGGGTTCACAGTCCATTGTGATATCCTATCTAATAAAAGAGAAGCATGGTAATTAGCCGTACCTCTGCTACCCTTCCCATTGGCTAATCAGGGCGATATGCAAATTTCCGGGAGCCGGTCCATGCTTGCTGTTTCAAGGGACCTGGCATATATGGCATACTGTTCTTAATATGTTTGCTCACCTTCTTGGCACTATGTGTTTTAACCAAGGTCTCTGAGAAAGGTTGTTTCCCCAGGTAGGGATTTTCCCCTGAAGTTAGGGAGGGAATAAAACCTCTTAACTAAGTGCCAGGCGGGTAATCAATCACTTTAACTATGAACAATCATGCTTAAGCTACATAATCTTTTACTCCCTGGAATGGAGATAAGAAACACCCTAACTTTGGAATAGAGATTGATAGGATTGGAATCAACTGGTATAAATACAGATGTAAGAAGACAGAACTTAGAAGACAGAACCTACACAGAACCTAGACACAGAACCTACACACAGAAC